TTCCCGTCATCATATCGACACGAAGTGAATCTAAATCCGAATGGTACACAACACAACCGTTAAACTGTCAGCTAGAAAGAACTCATGAAATCAATATTCCTCTGGTATCAGTCGTGGGGTTGGAAAATCGACGGTTGAGGGTGAAGATGTGACTATCTTCATCTTCTGAGAGAAGAAATGTAAAATTTTATTGTTAGTCGTGTTGTGAATTTATTGCGAACATCAGCTCCTGTCGGAGGGAAATACTCTTTTTTTTTTGCATATAAACCGATATGAAGCGAAAGGAAAAACTCCAATTCTTAATTCGCGATCGGAAATTTTTCAGGTGGAAAATGCAGGTTAATATGTATTATTCTTGAAATTGGACATCCCATGTAGCTGGATATAAAAAAATAATCATTTTATTCTCCCAATATTCAATAAAGCTCGGATATCGCCGTAATGGAATAATGGAGTTCAGGCATTTACTCTATTGAATTCCCAATGTATAAAAAATCCAATTAAATTGAGTGACCAATTATCGTCATAAGTTATGGAATGCAGACTGTATTTCAAATATGAATAATCACTTACGACTAAAACTGTTATTGAATTTTTAACAGAGATAAAATCGATAACCTGAGGATTTCAAGTGTCCACTCAATATTCACCAACAAAAACGCATCCCGTAATTCCGGGAAAATACGGGAAATGTGATTGAGGAAAATCCCATGAATTCCCGCGAATTTCCTCGGAGCGGTCGGTCATTTATTCTGAATCTTCCCAGTTAGATCGGTAATTAAAAAAAAAATTGTTACAGGTGTAGAAACAGAATAATTCATTAAATCCCCATCCCCGTTATCCTGGGGGATTGAGGTGAGGGCAATGGTCCGTTTGCAAAGGTGAATGGAAACTTGATAGAAATTATTGAGACGTATATAATTGGTGAGAAATGCCGTCTGTTGGGATTTTGAGATGGTATCGGAGTGGGTAGAGATTTCCGGGGTCCGGAAGTTGGACTGTGGTAAGGGCATAACCCTCGGTGGTTATGGGTCCAGGGTATGACCACAGTCGATCATCCAAAAGAGATACTTTGCATAGCTCGTCCATTTGATGTGGCCCAGACGAGGGAAAACGCTCCTTTCTCATCAACTCCAACTCCAACCTCTTTTCGAGATGGCGTTCGATACGATAGTTATGCCTTCCCACCCATTCTTGATGCCGACGTCTTACACTGCTGAAGGCCAGGATATTGCAAGCGGTTGGATGTTTGACTTACCAAGTAAACCATCCTTCATCCCTCGTCCTCGACAGTTCTGCATCTATGCCCTCACCATCTCCATCCCACCGCCTTTCTAATAAGGGATATTATATACCTGAAACCATAGTCAGACATTGCCTCCCAAGCGTGAAACCCAACTTTGTAAGTGAATGACTCCTCCTCACGCTAAATTGCTATTTATAATTAATTTTGGCTCGACTTAAGAACGCGTTGAAGGGTGTCTCATCCAATTTCGCTGCGATCGGTGCGCTCAGCATTATTTTATCCTAAATTTTTCGGTAAAACGAGGGAGAGAAAGCTAATAAATTTATCGGGAAAGAAATGTCAAAATTACCGTTCCAATATTTATCGTTGGGCAACTATCAGAAAAGCTTCGGAGTTGGTGGAGAAGGTGTCGAAGAAAGTCTCGAGATTCGGTTTATAGACATCACAAATTCTAATGAATTCTTAACGATTTTACTCGTCTCACCTTTGGAAGTATTTTCGGTTTATCCTCGGGTGGTCTCATATTGTTTGAAGCCACTGGGTTAGTCAGGGGATTAGACCAAGAAGTCCTCCAGGGGATGATGAAGAGGAATAAGAATTTTTGATTGTTCTTGTCATTACAACATCAGCTTCCATCAATCACCAGGAATTCTCTCATCATCTTCAAAGCACGGCAGATATAAAATCGATTATGACGACAATTAAATCTTGTTTAAACATTTTAAATACCCAGAACTAAATCAAATCGCCGTAAAAATTCCAGCCGCCTCAATGTTGAAATGAATAAAAAATGAGGGATTTAAGTATTCCCGGAGTATTGCATGATCCCCCAAGAATTTTCATTAAAGCTTCAATGAAAAATGCAATAACCCGGTAAGGTACGACAATATTTTGAGTCAGGAGCGCAATATCATTGCAATATGATTATAACTGGAGTTACTGCATGTCTTACGAGAGTTTCAGTGGAAATTCCATTGAAAATTTCTCTGAGTGGAGCATTCTGAATCCTCAAACCTCGAGACGCTTCTCTCCCGAGTTCTCTCCAACTCATGGCGATTTATAAACTTGATAAGAACAAAAGACGTCAACTGTACTGCATACATGAACTGAAAAGTGACGTTGAGATGGAGAGAAGCTGAATGAAAAGAGTATGTACGGATATAAAGAGTGAAAAACTCTCGACTTCCCGTCTCAACCGGAAATACAGTGCCACCGGGATGGGATGGAGTCTGGATGAGGGGAATGCTATAGGATATATATCAACGTTTGGAGGATGTTTTCCTTGGGAATATCAGGACTATAGTCCGCTTGGAAAAGCGGAATGTCACGCGTCTAAAAGGGGAAGCGAGTAGAAGCGTTTGATTTCCTCTTTTCTTCCGATACAGCCGCCGCTCCTTTTCGTTTCTTCCTTCAACCTATTTTTTTTTCCCCCTCTTGTTATTCGACTTTCTTCTCGTGTTTATGGCTTTTTTTTTTCTTCGGTTCGTTTCGCCGGGATTTCCCCCGGGGAACTCGCGCATTGTCACATCACCGGGGAATGTCTTCTTTTCGGTGCATTTATCGAGGATCGACGAAATATTGAAAAATAATGGGGTAGCGATGAATTTTTAGAGTCTAGAAATGGCGCTGGGGAAGAAATGAGATGTCTGTATTTTCAGAAAAATTTTAGTCCACGCAGAAAAATATTTGGTGAATATCACGGAGCAATTCGCGATATCTGGAGGACGGAGTTTTCGCATCATTTTGTCCAAATGATTATCGTAATGTTAATCACAATCATCTGGAAATTGCTATATTGAAAAATAAATGCGAATTCGTGTTATTGTCACTGGTGGAATAAAAAATTTTAATTATCACGATATTTCGACGAATAATTAAGGGAAATAAATTTTAATTGAATGGTGAATTGTGGAGATAATAAATGGGGAATTAAGGTTTTGCGACATTGATGTCATTGACATAAGATGAAATGGGCTTGATATTTGTTGGCGTTTGTCGAGCGATTAGGGTACGTGCCTGTGAGAGTGTCTGGAGTCTCCATGAGTAAAGCCAGTCAAACAGGGGTGTTTGTACTGGAGTATCCGTGGCTGGGCACCAGAGGGTTGTGATTCATGTTCAGGTACAGCTTCCGTCGTCGGGAGGCGCGACAACCCGAGAAGCAATTACCGCACAAAGCGAAACCAGCGGTGAGGTACAAAGAGAGTGAGTTTGTTACCAAGGCCATTCCTGATGTTTAAACAATCCCCTGTGAGCGTTTAATTGGCAAAGTGCACTCAATCAAATTTCTCTAGTGTCTCAGTCGAAAAAAAAAATGTCCTGATCAGAAGAATCGACGGAACGTCTGATGAAGTAATTGAAAACTCCAATTTTGTTGCACTATCTTAATTACGAAATTTTATCAGGAAATATCACATTTTTCATTGAAGATTTCTCAACAACGAGAGATCATGTTGTAACAATAATGATTAATTAAGAAATTATAATAATTATTATTGAGTATCAATATCATTATCAGTTAGCTATTTAATTTTGTTTTTTTTTACGCATCTATGATTGCTTATTTTAAAAATAATTGAATAATTAAGAATTACGATTACATGATTTTTTGTTTTTTTGTTACAGGTGAGTATCCAGGTCGAAGCTTGATATATTTACCATCTTCATTCAGTCTGAAATAACAATTCCCGTAAGTGTAACAACCACAATAATTTCGCAAGTAAGAATACAGTAATCTCCTCATGAAGTAATCAATTCCCCTCATGCATGCAAAACCCTATTAATTCGCTTTATCAAAATTTCAATCATCCCGCTGAGAAAATAAGGAGTTAGTCCGAATTTATGGGCCCTAAAATTTCCCATTCAATTTTTTTTTCCGTAATTTTATTAATTTCTCCATAAAATAATCATTAATTGAGCCCGGGTGGCTCCAGCACCTCGAATCCCATTAAATTCCCCTCAAAAATTCTTCCACCAAACATATACGTCGCATAAGCCACCCACGATTTTTTTTTCCCTCTCTTTCCACTTGAGGTTCTTTTATTTCATTCCATCCCTACTATCTTCCCCGAAGAAGCCGATGTTTTTCACCTCGATTCGCGCTGAAACGACACGCGCACGGTGAGGACACTGATTGCAATAAATTGCCGACGGTTTATTCTGCCGTGTATATCAACATGAATGAGAGTGCGTGTCCTGGTAGTCAGTGGATATAAGCACCGTTATAAACGTCCATTTTTCATTTCTTTTTCTCATCTGCACATATATATTTTTAACTGGACCCCATGTCATGTGGATATAAAACGCACTCAGCACGGGTTTTGCCGTTTCAATTAAATCCATGTGAATATCGCTAATTATTCGATGCATTAATTATAATGTTTTCTTCGGTGTCTTGATTTTTTTTAAGATGTCATTAATTATATCGCTGGTATAGGTTATCTTAATTATTTAAGGTTAACTGGATTTGCTGATATTAATAAATTACGGAAATAATTGAATTCGAGATTATTCGATCAAGATGCAAATTGCGAATAATTTGTTTAAATTTAGAGAATTATTAGGGAGAATGTGAAATGACAATATTCACATTTCTCTATGGAATTCTCAAAAATAATCATTTTTATTGGATATTTTTTTCCGAGTACTGACTAGCAACTGGCGGGTCTTCCTATTCTCTTGAAAATGGTTCTCTTCCGCGGAATTGAGTCCCCGTCTCCATCATTCCCAAATGAATAAATAACTACTGCACATTTTCCCTCATCTTCCGCCATTTTCCTCCTTTATCCACCTGAAACGTGAAAAAAAAAACTAGAAATGAAACCCAAAGGGGAAAGCTGAAGAATCCCCGAGAGAATGCCACCTGCACTGAATGCGACATCGGCATTGATTGGCCCGGAATTTCTCGCATTTGTTAACGAATAATCGACATCTTCCTCTCCAACTACTCAATAATCCGACTTGTACAATACTCTTCATGAAAATATCGTCGATAAATTGTCGCTGCGAGAGATACCGTTTAATCGATTGAAAATCGATAAATTCCGGAGATTATAAACTCCGGAAAGAATTCTCCGGTACTAGCAGGTACTCGAAGTGAATGGAAATTCTCAGCGAGCTTTTGTGACATGTCTCCACTGTCTCTACCTCGTTTATTAACTACGAAAGGGCGTACGTGACTCGACTGATGTTACACTATACCCACATACACCCACTAGTCTCAACGACTCGAATGAACAATATAATGTAATTCTGCTTTACTGAGATTCCGCAATATACTTCAGTGCAATCCAAAATCTCGTTTCATTGTTTAATTTCACCTGCCGGTACCCCGGGCTCATTTTAATTCCAAACCGAGATTATTATCATTTATTAATCCCCCCCCTTTTTACCGAAATTTATCGGAGTCCATATTATTATTTAATGACACCCTTAAAAAGATCGACGAATTTAACCGAGACAGCTGAATTTTAATCCTGACCTTTTTCTCATTTCACTCCGCAAAAAAATTTCACAGAAATTTTCGCCTTCTATCAAAGATCCAGAGATATCCATGAATTGGGATATTATTATTATCCTGAGAATGATAGGGGAATTTTTAATGAAATTCGTGTGTGAAAGACTATATGACCCGACGTTTTTCCGTCGAAATTAATTTTAAACTCGCCTCGAATTGCTAAACAAATAGAGGAAATGAGTTTGAAACAGGAGAAAAGCAGGAATTACCGAGATTAAAGTACAAAGATGGTAAGTACAATAGAGAGAGATGTGAAGTGTATGGTAAAGGTGGGCTTAACGATGCGGCACGGTTGCGACATGCCCCCATCGTAATGCGATTACATTGACGCCCTTGTGTGTGTGTGTACAGGGCATATGGTGTACTTCGAATGTATGTTATACCTCAATGTGTTGTTTGTGTAATATTGTATTCCGATATATTCGAACGCAGTGGTTCAGGAGACCAAGATAATAGGGCAACCGCTCAGAATTGCTTTGCCCAACCGTATGGTAAGCAATTGGGATATCGATTTGGTAACAATGAGAATTATAAATGGTCCTTGATGCTGGCGGATGTATAGTTTAATTGTCAGGGCTTGATCGGTGCATTAACGACATTATCCAAGCGACGATACTTTATTTTATTCATTTTATTCGGTCAACCAGTCGGGTTAATCGATGTGCAACCGGACAGGAGGGAATCCTTTTTTTATCTAAAATTATTTGGGTAATGCTCGTTTTCTCCTCGATACTGTAGTCATTTTTGCTGATTCAATAATAATTATTAACATTATAACTGAACATAAATAAACTTCATAGGCCAGTAGAGTAGGTTTTTTAATTTTTTTTCTATATTTTTCTTGTCTACAGGTATTGGTATTATCCCCAGGATGAATCGACATGAAACTATTAATTAATAAATATAATACATATTTTGCAAAATCGTGGATTAAATTTTAACGTACGGCTTGTTAATTAGAAAAAATTGAAAAGTAAAAAAATCTATTATAAAAAATTCTGGTAAGTTGTCAAAGAATTTTTTCCTTCGACCAAAAGATACGAGTTGAAATGAAAAATTCTAGACTCGTGTAATTTAATAGCAAAATGACACGGAATTAAATATATCGAATAAATTCTTTTAATCCGTATCCGCTACTTGTATTACCCACCTGTTCATACGTGGTCAAAGCCCACTGGATCCACATGAATAGAGTGGAATGAAGAAGGCAGTGTAAAGAAGGCGAAGGCGAAGGCGAAGGCAAGAAACCGTGTAATTTGACTTTCTACCCGGTATTTTGCCCCGAAGGACTCGCGAGAGGAGTTGGTTTTACTCTCGTGTGGCCCGAGAGAGTACCGGCTACTGCCATTACTCTCGGCTACTACAATCCGCGAAAATTGCCCACGTAGACTCGTTGGCACGCGGCGCCAACTCTCCCCCCCTCTCCCCCCTCCCGCAACTGCCTTTTTGCGGTTTTCACTGCGATACAGAGTCTGCAGACAATATTTCTGTCATCATTCCTAACGAGTCTCCTAACCAGCGTTTTCTCTCTCCAGGGAATTTGAAGGGATTTCAAATTCCTTCGTCGTCACTCTAATGAAAACACCGGTAAAGCACTCGTTATCAGTGGGGGATGAGTCCCTCGGAAAAATTTGTTATTTTATTATTTATGCGAGTTGAGAGACTATTTTCGGGCCTTTGTTGTCCCTTGTTTTTGAATTTTTCACTTTACCTGCGGTATTTTTGGAGCGTGATGGAAAAGTTGATGGTGTGACGACCGCAGTTGCATTCTTCATGATAGTACTCCCCGCGAATTGATGGGTGAGTGCTTGAGGGGGTAGAAGGGAAGGGTGTTTTTTTATTCAGAGAGGAAAAATGGAGATGAGAGGGAGGGTTTTGGGGGTTTACGGGGATTTTTTGGGGGTGAATTTTTTCAGGCCGATGATGTAACTCTTCAGGTGTAATTTTACAACAGTTTTTTAATTTTACAACAGTTTTTTAATTTTACAACAGCATTTGGTCTCGCAATATCAAATACTCAATACCCTTTTCACCTGTCGTTAAACATGTAAGGAAATTATTATTTCACGACATTTTATCTGCCTTTCGCAAATGTTTTCATCGGTTTTTTTTTTTTCCACCTCGTGCATAATTAAAACCGGAAGATTGATATTTTCAGATCCACGAGGGGTAAACTCGTTAGTAAATATCGGTTGAGTGAATTCATATTTGAAGGAGTGGTTGGAGCTCTGGATTATATTCTCCATCGAATACGAGACGAGCGTCTCCTCGATGTGATTAAAAAGGTGTCGGTTGGACGAACGGGGTCAATGGTTCAAGGAGAGTCTAACAGATCGGGTTGGTGAGATCTTTTCGGGGGAAATCTGACGTGGTATATGGCGTGACCTGCTATGATCGCGGTATGTATCTGCGAATTAATAATCCAGTGATTTGCGATAGTCTGACGCTTTCGCTGCATTGAGGTTGTCCATAGGTAACCTCATACCCTTCATCTTGCTAGTCAATACTTCATTAAATGTCGAGACGATGTCTCTCAATTTTTCCATCAATCTTTCAACTCATTCCCTTTTTCCATTTCAGGAGAGAATATTTAAATTATATCCGCACGGAGGCTATATTTTTCATCAGAGAAAATCTTACCGTAAATCTTCATAAATATCTCCACTCACTCAAAATCATTTCATTATTTATTCTACTGAATAATTTTATCTTATTAATTTTAAATCAAAATCAATTGCGATTACTCAAGAGCACAAGTAATTCTCCGTTTACGCCCACCCGTCTTCGCTTTTCTGAATAATTTAGTAGGAAATCGGATTTCGGGGGATTTATTCACGAATTCAGAAATGATAATTGATTTTCGAGAAAATATAATTATTGATGGGTTGATAGAGTTGATAAAAATTTCACCATCAATTTTGTGAAAAGGAAAATGTAATTTTCATTGTATTTTAGTCTCTTTTACTTTCTCCGTGACATCACTTTCATTTCCAATTTATTGATAACCGATAAAATCAAGTTTTCGGGTAAAACGGTAGAGTGGGGGTGGCTGTACAGCTATAAATCCAGTGGCACTTCCGCTGAGCCAATCGGTCGACAAACCACCCATCCACCAACATCATCGTACCCATACACAGGCCTTATACCTCCTCTATGTACTCCTCATCCTCCACCTCCTCCGGGGGATAAATCACACGCCACCCGTTATGAGACTCTGTTCGCCGAGCCGTGGCGCGATCATTTGTGAATTAGGGAATTGAATCGATCTGGAATCGCGCCTCGTTGCATTTCACGAAAATAATAACGAAAGGGGTGGTATATAAATTTTCCCTCCCTCTATCTCCCTCTCGCCCCCTTGCTGTACGTGCAGTTTGTCGTATGCCCACCAGGAAAAAGTCAATATTTCCCTTTTTACAGTTGAGCAAATTTTGTTGGGAGTTTTTTTTTTTACGAATGGTTCCTACAAAATTGCAACCACAAAAAAATCATCTCGGTTTAGTGTTTCCAAGTGGATTAATATTTTTCATCGTTTTCACGTTCATTCCAATTTCAATTGCAGTAAAAATATACATTGTTTTAATCAAATTGAAATTTTTAGAGACAGGATGGGGAGGACAATTTATGGACTGTTTTGAGAGAGGGATGGGCTTTTGAAAAATTTTCGAGATTCAATTATTTTGGGATGGTTTTTACGTTTTTATAGATTTTTTTTATCCACTTTTCGTGGATGATGTTTACGGATTTGATAAACTGTTGATTGATAAATTTTTTATTTGATCGTTTTTATTTTTCCCTAGCTGAATCTACAGGAGGGGATTTATCATCTGTCTCGTACCGAGTGTCACTCTCCGCTAGAAGAATCCTCTGACATTTCCTCCCGAACCCAATGATTATCCACTTATTCCCAAAACAATCTATTAAAGTGTCAATTTTTAATGTGGAATTGACAAATGTTCAACCCCCCAAGTCCATTAACTTAATTTAAAACCTTGAAAAATACCCCAAGGCAACTTTTCCATAGCAGCGACTGCACTTTATCTCAATTTTCCCTGAATATTTTCGAAGCAAGAGGTGGAACCCCTTTGACACTGACTATACAGATAAAACAAATTGTTCATATGGATGTCGCGGGGTAAACGAAAATGGCATATAAAAGGGGAAAAGGGGGTGGTAGGCCCGAAGAATATAAATGCGACAGTAGAGGGTTCTGGTACTCCAGGGAATCCCTTACGGTTCCACGAAAATTCAAACTGCCACCCCCTACCGACAGTACTCTCATGTCGTACATACACTTTACTATTCGAAGACGCGTGTTTTGCGAGATGGAATGGTGAAGAGACTCTGAATTACTTACAACGCCCTTTTCGCAGTAGACCTGAATAATACCCATAACGTAGAAATATATAAAGAAGAGGGAAAAACCCTCTGTACTAGTGCACGTGTAAAACATTTTTTTCAGATCGTGTTTTTCCCTTTTCTGTTGTTTTCATTTTTATTTCATACGTGGGCTTTTTTCCTTTCATCTTGCCTTCATGTGGGCCAAATGCAAATTGCGGTTGTCGTAAAAGCCCGCAAGGATGAATGGAAAAAATACATTTTTTTGAGTGAAAATTTTTAAAAAGCTGGAGAGAAATGCCTTTCCACTCGAGGTACGGGGAATTTAACATTTTTTTTTTTGTTTTTTTTTTGTAAATATTGAACGTTACTCTCGTTGTCTTATCTACCAGCACTTCCATTTTCTCGCGTATGGCGTTATGGATCCAAATTCACCATTTCAACTAGCTATGATACACAACGTGTCCACCAAAATTGTCCATGATAGAGTGGATATGATAACGGTGTTTTATTACTTTAGACTCGCGAACGATCGCGACGTGATCCCATCGCACCATTGCAAACCCAACAGACTGTCCGTCACGTTATCTGTCCCTTGTTTGCCCGACAAACGCAAAAAAATAAACCATTTTTTAAATATTTATATGTATTCGACGAACCGACACACATTCCCACGTATTCATTACTCAATATTTCTCAGCAAAATTTCCTCCGCCTTTTACATATTTTTTATGTTTCATCATGAATTTTACATTACATTGTTAAACATTTTATGAATTTCCAGAATCTTCTGAATTTTCAATTACATGAGTATGAATTCCGTTTCAATTGCAAACACCCTAAATTCCGGGGAATTATTATTTGTAATTTCATGTGTAATTCACAATTTTAGAAAGTATAATTATTTTTAATTCATTCCGAGTAGTATGAATTCTTTGCAAAATGTCAAATTTTCGATATGAAAATTCTCTGAAATATCCGTGAAATATAAAATTTCCAAAAAGCAATAAAATATTAGATATTAAATATAAAAAAATATTCTCTGGTGTTTTTGACATCGGAAAGTGATTTCAGGGATTAAATGGACAATTAAACAACAGGAGCTATTGAAGACCCTTTTATCCATATTATTGTTATTGTTGTTGCCTTGTCTTATTTCAGCTGGTGTTATCATTTTTATGTGATATTCTGACGTGTCACTATATTCCCTCTGTTTATACCCAGGACTAAAATCACGAATTATATTGGGGCTAGAAATTACCGGACTTGCATGTATACAACAGTATCTCCCTGAAGGATTAAACTTTTCTCGTTATTATTGCATTTCCATTTATTGCCCACGAGTTTCTCGCGTTATGGGAAGAGGCTTGTGATTTATTAAGACCATACCCATCTCCCTTTGCCTGAGAATAAGCTCGAGTGAGACGATGAATTCTCTTTGTCTAAACCTTCTTATAACTCCGATTTTCCGTCTCTCTCGTCTCACTTGTCGCAATATAAACTGGATGAGGTGCTTTACTCACGATAAAACGGGGTTATATTCCGTTTCAGGCGGAAAATAAAATGGCGGAAGGGATTGAGATATGTATACTGAGAACGAGGGAAGGAGTGAGTAAATACGAGAATTTATGTACTCAACTTTTGCGAAGGAGATTCTGTTCAAATGAAATTTCTTGTTGGCGGAGAGACGAAAAATTATCGGATTTTCTCATTTAGTAAAACCCTGGAGTTCATGCAAAGAGCAAATTTAATTCAATTGCAAATTATTTATTTACCCACAAAAAATATACACTATTTTATTTCCATTTCTCTTAATAGTTATGAATTACAAACACTCAATGTAATTATCTGACTTTTTGTTAGAAAATTATCAAAATTTCATGGGAAGTTAAAGTTTAATTTTCATGACGTGAATTCTGAAGAATTTCAAATTTCGTAATTGTAATTTCGAATTTGTAATGTTTTTAAATAATATAAACGGTTTTTT